CACTCTGTCACACACTCTCTCTCTCTCTCTCTCTCTCTCTCTCTCTCTCTCTCGCGTCTCTCTTTCCTTTATCGGTTCTCTTGCTCCCGAGTTAAACAAGCGAAACCACCTAGTGTCGAGCAGCAATGCGGCTGATTTGCGAGGAGCAACTTCGAAGCCAGACCGGAAACTCGCAGAGAAGTCTAAACGATTCTCTCTGCTCGTGGTGTCCCACGATTTTACAACGCATACGAAGATCAGCAACGTGTAGACGACTCTTACGGGAAATTCGATTAAACTATCCCTCGCATAAAGCTAAAATTGGAAAAAATTCTCAACCTGAAAAATCCTGAATTTTTACGACAAGCATGAAATGGACTAAACTTTTGGCTGTCAACGCTAAAACCTTTCCTATCTTTGTGACATCGATATGACGGTTTAGAAAAAAAAAAAAAAAGAAAGAGAAGAATTTAAACAAGAAGAGATATATTTCATTTTTGTTTTTTCCTAAAATAGTTATCCAGCTGACAAAGACAAAACATTGAAGGGAATATTCGAAAGGTAATATTTACGGTGGTGGTTAGTTGATTTTTTTTTTTATGCGTGTATCTTCCGTCGAGAGAAATTAAAGTCCGGTTGAAAAGCGGGACAGGGTTAAATGCATTCAAGGTTTCGTCCATCATTCGCATTGATTGCACGCGAACGCTAAATTCGTCTAGTCGGAACAAGATCGCTCGAGAGAACTTTGTCGAGGAGAACGAACGTGCAGTAGCGGCGCTCGCAACGGAAGTATTAATCGAACATATTAACTTAATTAGGCGCTCGGTCCGTTTCTTCTGTCTGTGCTTGTCGTCACGGAGCGGATCGATAGAGCCGCGCGCGTGTAAAATTTTTCCGCGCGCTTTCTCAACTTCGCCCGAGAGTTTTCCTTTTACGGATTTGAAAGGAGTCTTCGGAGGAGTTTTCATAACTTTGTGCGCGATCATAGCTTGTCGTTCCACTTCAGAAACACTTGACAATAACAATGTAGCAGCAACAATATAAGTAAAGCAGCTAAGATGTATTAATGATATTGAATATCGTTATAATAAGATATTATTATGAAGTAACAACGCAAAATAGGGTAAAAAATATTAATAATTATAAACATTTAATTACGGAATGTATTAATTACCTCGTAGAAAAAAATTATTGACGTCTAATAAAAGCATGTAATGAAGATTACTTCGTCAAACAGTTTGAAATGTTTTTCTCTCGACGATATTTGTAAAATAAAAATGAATTGAAATCTAGAACTTTGATCTTTTCTCTTTTCTCTTTATCAATTAATTAAGCTTTATTGATAGAAATAAGTAGCGATAATAAAATAGCAGGAATCGCAAGAGAAGAACTTTTCAAAATTACTCTCAACAGAAAAATGTGAAATTGCGTAGAAGTTAAGGTTTTCCGAATAAGATTTTCTGATAGTAAATCTTAACTTTTTAACGAGCCCGTACTTTCACGAATACGGTCAGAATCGATATTCCCGGAACGTTCTCGTATCATGAGGGTAACATAAAACGGCCATGTATGTCTATTTGTACTCGTCCTATAATTAAAATTCCACAAATACTCAAGTACATTTGGATTTATTCGGAAATTTGCGACTACACGAGTGACTCACGTGTAACTTTTCGCGAATCGCTCTTGAACGACGTGGAATGTCCGAAGGACAATGCTCACATACCACGACAAAGGGCGCGAATCATGTCGCAAATAAGCTCGCCCTCATTTTGCGATAAAGTCGGGAATGATAAAGAGGGAGGGCTGGGAGAAAAGAAGGGAACGAGAGGAGAGCAAGATTGCAGTGCAAAATGTGAAGGAAAGTGGCAGGAAAGGAGAAGGAAAAAGGAAAAAAGGAAGCCTGGAGAGAAGACAAAAGAATTAAAGAGGGAAAGGTGCGAGCGGGAAATCAAAGTGCTGAGATTTTTTTTTCGCGTTCGCGTGAGGCATTAAGAGCAAACATATATTCGTTTTTCAATTCCGGAGGAGGCTCACGGAAGCAATTAGGTCACAAAAGTCTCGCGCCGCGACTATTAAATGCTTGCAGATCTGTATTTGCCGAATGGAATTCGCGAGCTGCACACGTGTACGTTCACTTGGAGACATGGCCGTATCCAGAATTTTTTTGAAGGGGGTTTTTAAACAGTAAAGAACAAATCAGAGGGAGCATTACTCGGTAGACTAGAAATCTAGAAATCTATTAATTTTTTCATTATTGAATTTATATCTACAAATTGTCTTATATCCCGGATTACTTTTAACAGACTTGAAAACGCAGCTTAAAGCTAAAAAAGTCTTTAAATCGACGATCAAATTTATAAAAATCAATTAACATAACATAAACAATAATTTTTTGACTGAATTTGACTTTTTTTTTTTGGAAGCTATTTTAAAGCTAGGAGAATATGTCCTCGTTCCTGATTTTGAATGAGAAAAATATTAGATTTTGTAAATCATAATTTCAACTTTTTTTTAAATTTCAGAAGGGGTTTGAATCCCTCAAACTCCCATTCCCCCTGGAATACGCCCATGCTTGGAGATATGAAATCGAACGCGCGGACTGAGAATGAAAAGCGAGTAAAAATGAAATCTAAGTTTATTGTGGTCGCAAATCTCGAGGGTATTGCGAGAGTGCGGAATGGCACAGTGTCGCGACGGTCACTTCCACTCGCGTGGCTTTTATAGTCGCATTACGAATTACAACATTACCACGCGGGATGCGTCGATTTCGAAGATTTATTACGCGACGAAACGTAAAACCGCGCGAACGAAGCTCGTGAGCGGGCAATTTGCATGAAGGGTAATCATTTTTCGTCCCGCCTCGGACGCGGCTTATTGCGATCTAATTTGAAAATCCTAATTCTCATTATTATGCGGAAGCCGGCGCGCGGAGTATTTACCGTGAAAATAGTCAGGGACAGTCAATACCGGATGATATAATGCGGAGTACCGGTAGCACGGCTTGTTCTAAATCTGAATTTCATGCTGCGCGAGAGGACACTAAATTTGCACGTAATAATCTAAAAGTCAACTATCCCGTTAAAGGCGAAATAGAACAACAACAACAACAACAACAAGAATGACCGAGGATGACGACGAGACATGCCGCTTCTGGTTAGTTTATGACGGTGTAACATTTGCGGAGAAATTTGTAGAAAACGCTTGCGCTCGCTCGATAATTTTATCTAAATTGCAAAAATGCTTCGGCATTCAGCACACGCTTGAGCGCGTTCCTCGTATTCGTTACACTTAAATATCTCGCACGATCCGATCGAGTGACTCACCCCCCTCCCTCTCGAAATCAAATCCTCTGCGATCACTCGGCTCGACTAAGATGCGGTTGTATGTTTGTTGCTCCGCGAATGCACTACACATCATTGACGCTAAGAGCCTTCTTGTTTTTTTTTGTTTCAGGTATGACGCATCAAGTTTAATGTTTGCTACTTTAAGAAAAATAGATTGCGCGCCACGCGCAAAAGCTCCTTCTACCGAGAGATAATGGGACCAACATAAATCAACGTGATGTTTACGGGAAGTTGAGACACGTACGTTTTGTCAGACCGCAATTTTGCGGGCTTTAGGTCACTTCAATTAGGTCACTTTAACGTTTTATTATACTGTTTGAATATTCAGGTCGGAAGTCCGACTTCGTCGATACGCTTAATTTTGCAAATTGTGCATATCGTTACGATGACTAGATAAAAAAAAAAAAAAAAGATTCTTAAGGATTTTATTGCGCTCGTATCGGTGAAATATTAAACGCTATTTATTTTTGGAGCGGAATATCGCGATAACATAGAATGCAGGTAGAATTCGTTGAAACGAAATAATTAGTTTATTAGTCATCGAAATGTTTGTATAATTTAAATCGGACGTCGAGCACAATCGCAGCGAGGCCGAAGTAAAGATTAAATGCAAGCAATTGCATCATTCTCGATTAGTCACGTCGACGTCGACGTCGACGTCGATGTCGACAGGCCGGGATTTTAATTACATCCATCAAAATTATTATTATCAATTGATCGTTATACTTTTTGGGCCGTTGGTACGTGTTGCGATTTAGTATACCAATTTCGTATTAACTTCGATTAACAAAATACACGGGGCCGCGTCGCAATAATAATTTCCCTAAATACAAATTAATTATTCCATCTACGTGGCGTCGTTTCCGCGGAATATTCGCTGTATCGAGCAAGTTTATTCACGGACTGGCAGTATTATCAACCCGGGAATAGTGCACTACTTGATTGCATGTTGCATTTAAACTACATTCAAGCAGTATCTTATTTGATTTTGAAAATGAATTGCGAGGCAACAGCGTAGCATTATTGTTACAAAAGGAAAGAAACATATATAGAATCCATAATGAGACGAGCCAATAGCGTCAGCATTCTTTTTCCTTTTTTTTCTTTTCTTTTTTTTT